TTGAAGTGTTAATTCTTGCCTGTGACTTTTTGAATAAACCAGCACGGTTATATTTTTTATATACTCAAGTGGTCTGAGTCGTGCCTCTGAGTTCCTGGTTTGAAAGAACCGGATGAGGCTTTATAATAGAATAGAGCCTTTAGCTTGGTGTTAGGTATTTTTAGTCAGATAGATATTGGATAGATACTTTATATATTAGAAATGTTTAGTGGAGATAGGATGTCTAGTTAGACGGTTAAATGCTTAGGCCTGCTTATGAGTTTCTACAGGGTACATTTGGTCAAGGATACTAGAGAGAAGAGTTGATGACAGGATGTTTAATATTATTATTATGACATGTATAACTGTAGCTTTAGCCATAATATGTTCTTATGTTTAAGTCACGACATGTACTAGAGGTCGTGAGAATGTTTTTAGCTACACACCACTTAATCAACAGACACACACGCACATTGATTTGGGTCATGTTTTGACTACCGCTATGGCCAGCTGCAAAGCTGGCACCAGGGACACGTTACGGTTGACGTTTCTGTGTAGTATGGGGCTAGCCCAACCGAGGTGATATAATGTATAGGCCTGGTGGGTTCAGGGTCTTTCATCTTACATCTGCCTGCGTGCAGTTTGGAGGTGCAAGATACCTGAGTGTGTAACGTTAATTTTACCTGTGATCCTTTGAATAAATCAGCACTGTTTTGAAGTTACTTGGACTGCCTCGTCTCTCAGAGTCAGTATGGTAAAAAGTACAGGGTACAACATTGGTCAAGACCAAGTTACCACATGAGAGACAGACACACACACACATATACCTAGTCTTTAACACATTGAAACAAGGGGAGCTCCGGTTCACACCAAATGGACAATAGGATCAAAAGCTGTTGAATGTTGTACCTCTGTCCAGGGCAGAGCAGCCCAAGAAGATAAAATGCATTGTAAAACATGATTCGAGATTCAGAAGTTGGGTTTCCTGCGGGAGCTCTATCTCTCTGAATCCAGCACTGTAAGACTTTCCTGTGATCAAACTTTCAGTAAACTTTTTGTTGATTTTAAACAGCCCTCTAATGTCCTCACTTCTCGTGCTTCCAACAAAAGAATTGGGTTAATTTCTAACACAAGGAAAATAAAGTATAAACCGTTGTAATCAGGGGAGCAAAACCAGAGTGAGAAAAGGAAGAGAGGAAGGTGCAGCTGGGCAAACTTAACATTTCCAGAGAAAAAATATTGAGGCTCTGCTTTTTCCAATAAAATCACCCTGCTCTAACAAAAGACATCAGAATTATCCATCCATCCATCCATTATCTATAGCACTTATCCTGAATAGGGTCACGGGGGCACTGGAGCCAATCCCAGCTGACACTTGGTGAGAGGCGGGGTACACCAGTCACCAGTCTATCACAGGGCTGACATGTAGACAAACAACCACACACACTCACACTCACTGATACAGGCAATTTAGAGATGCCAATAGTCAACCTACTCAACCTTGGTCTTTGGGAGGAAGTACCAGAATACCCAGAGAGAACCTATGCAGGTAGAGGGAGAACATACAAAGACCCTGGGTGGGCCCAATGCCCATCAGAACATGAAAATTAATTACTAATCCCCATCTGTTCATGTCGGAATGCCAATCAGACCACAATACACGTAGATTTACAGTAATAGCTCAAACCCGGAACCTTCTTGCCGTGATGTAACAGCGCTAACCACTGCAGCGCCATGATGCCCATCAGAACATGAAAATTAATTACTAATCCCCATCTGTTCATGTCGGAATGCCAATCAGACCACAATACACGTAGATTTACAGTAATATTTGAAAGGTAGCATACATACAAGCATAGGTATGAAAAATAAGTACAGCATGCAAAATAATAAATTGAAGTAAATAGTGTAATGAATGTGACTGTATTACTTAGATTAACAGCTGAATGACTTTCTACAGTTGAATAAGATTAAGACCATGGTTCTTGTGGTTGGTCCCAGATGTCAGAGACAAGCTGTTTGTACCTTGAAACCCTGAAAGCTAGTGAACAAGTCAGGAATCTTGGACCCCTCCTTGACCCTAATTTAAATTTCAATTATTGTATTAGTTAAATTACAACATTAGGTTTTATTATTTAAAGAATATATCCAAAGCTAGACCCTATACAACCATGGCTGATTGTGAGAAATTGGTTCATCCTTTCTCACAAGCAGATTATATTACTGCGGTTCCCTCTTTGTGGACTGACAAAACACTCAGCAAACCTTAAATGAAAGCAGGGCTGTTGCTGGACATTTGAGTGCCCTAAGCACAAATGCTTCATGGTGGATTAACACTGGGAGGTGAGATGCATATAGACTAATCTTCAGCAAAACTGTATTTTCATGAGATATTGATGATAATGAGGTGGCAGAGCAGAATTCATTTTTGACTTTCCACCCACACTAGCAGCATGGCTCTAGGGTTGGCAACGTCTGTCCGTGCTTCTGTTGCTCAATCCTCAACTTTGAACAAAAATATCACAACTATTGGATGAATTTGGCACAAACATTCATGTCCCTCACAGGACAAATTGTAATACCTTTTGTGACCTGAGATAATAGAATTTTTTTCTTGCCAGATTTGTGAAAACAGTACTAATGTACGTATTATCATGTTTAGATGGTGATCTTTTAAGCAAACACTTGCATATACAGCCAGAAACCCTAGCATACATTTGGTGCCATTTTCTGTTCACTCTCTTTTAGCCCCGTTTTTGGTCTCTTCCAAAATACTTGGCTTATTTACCTTGTTGTGTGTGTGTGTTTGTTCTTGAATCTTGTACTACAGCACAAGCCAGCAAACGATCCACTCATCAGAACACTGCTCCACTTCTAGTGGTCAAAATCTCCACAGGGCACCTTAAATGTTATGCATAGGAGAAAATCAATGCCATCAAACCTCTCTGAATTCAGCTGCCTGAATGCAGAGTCAAGTGAAATAATTTGGACTTAAATAAAAATGACCATTCAGTACAGTTTAAGTCTAATTTTAAAGCAACAATTTGACACCTTATATAACGGTGTGTGTCATCTTCCCACACGTCAGCTCTAATAAAACCATTAAGTAGAATTAAGCTAATCTTAATTGAACTCCCTTCTTCTTTCATGTGGATGCTTGCTGTCATGGAGACAGAGCAGCTTTTCCAAATCAACATCTGGTTCAGACTCAAATTAGGTCTAATGACTTTGCCAGTCTGCAGCCCATTTCTGCACCTCTTTGCTGAATAAAAGGAACTGCTTCTATTTTTCACTCTTTAATGCACAGATCTACAAAATAGAACTAATTGACATGATGGACGCTATAGATGCTTTTATTTTTTATTAGAGTGAAATTTAGTGTTTAAGTTGTTTGCAAATCAGCAAATACAGTATGTGTAAATTATATTTATCTCTTGTAGTTTTGGTTTATGGGACTTGGTGGGCTTTAAACATTTCATCTAAAGTGCTTTAAATATATCAGATATAGGGAGAGAGTTTATTTATTTGTTTGTTTTACCTACTGTATTTCCACAAAATTGGGTATAGTGACTCAAGTCCTAATTTTGCTATCACTCCCTCCACTGCAGAGATTTGGGAAATGAGAACTCACTTTAAATATAAACTCAGTTAGCCTCAGATAGTGCTCAGAATAAACATGATTTCATTCTAATCATTTTTCATGCTTAAATACAAGATATAGTATTCTGGGGTAACCGCTAACTGCATAGGAATACACTATAAGTCCAGGTGAGCATACACACAAATTTCTTAACTAATAGAATAACAAGAGACACATTATGGAGTTCTTACTGACTACTGCTGCATGACAAAGAGAAATTCCAGCTGTAGCTAACTGCTCTGCAATTTGACCTAAACATTATTGTATACTGAACATTTTGAAATGGATGACAATGCACCTCTTGTTGGATCCAAAACTCCCTTTTCCCTCAAAGCAAAAGCATAAAGTTTATTGCCAAGAATTTGACTCCAGACAAATTGTTCATAAATGTGATGGCCTAGATGTTTTGGCGTACAATGACCTGTAGCACCGTCTAGAGAGGAGGAGTTCAAAGAGTTTGTGTTCAGGGTGTGAGGAGTCTGCAGAAACCTTCTGTGGCCCCCTTTTGACCTGTGAGGTGTACAGGTCCACCATGGAGGGCAGGCTGGCACCGATGATCTTTTCTGGAGTCTCGGCTGGCACCGATGATCTTTTCTGGAGTTTCTTCAGTTGCTGAGCCAAGCCAGACAGAGATGGAAGTGCAGAGAACAGTGACATTCAGTGAGCCTGCTCTTGTAGCCTGATGAGGGCACTAGCCCTCTTCCCCCTCCAGTGTTTCCTCCAAGTCCCGAAAACAGCAGCTGCTCTATCAGCTAAAATTCTCTCTCTCTGTGGGGAGCCAGAATGATGATGCTCTGGAGATTTTGTAGTGTTTTAGTGACCTCTGCAGGTTAAAATACAGTATTATTTCTCATTCTGTGAGTAAATGAAGCCTTGTGGGATGCTCCCATTTAGCAAGATGTGGCAGGAATACCACAATACACTACTTCAAAGCATAATACTGTATGTAAATTGTCCTGAGATGATTTTTGTTGTAATTTGGCACTATACAATTAAAACTGAATTGAATTGAAATTTTGAGCTGAGTGGATAAATTAGGTCAGTTAGTTAGTTAGTTAATTACATCAGTTTCCAAACCTGTTTGCTGCCAAAACTGACAAAACAATGGCTCCTTTCCAGTTTCTGGAGGTGTAAAAAAACACAAACTGGAGCTCTCCCAGTTACAAATGGCCTGATATTAATGAATGCAGATGATTCAGATGGCTTCATTTTTGTTTTACTGCAGCAGCTTTTGATGCAGTTGATTATCATCAACAGAGTTCAGCAGTAGGTTTTACAGAACATTTTGTACACTGGTGTTTTCTCCTGTTTGTTCCATCACAGTTTTAGTGTTTAGTGACAGTGTAACCCCTCCAGCCCCAGTAACAGGGCCAGGGCCTTGGTTCCAACTTTAAGAAGAATCTTATTTGCCTTCCCTCTGTCATATTATACACAGAGACACTGCTGCTGTCACTGTTACATGATATCCAGATATATCTCCTCATAAAGCTGCAAACCTCTGGTCCATGTCAGCAGATGTGAAGGACTGGATGTCCTCATATTTCTTTCAGTTTCGTTCATCAGAAACACAGGTTCTGGTTATTGGACCACAAGCCTGCACAATCAGGTCAAACAAACACATAGAGCCACTGTAGCAACATCAAGCCTGTGGTAAAAAAAAAAGGTGATCCTGAGGCTCTCTGTGATCCTCAGCAGTACCTGGTGATGCAGTAAAACCCACAGCACAGTATTAATGAAGTCAGCAGACTTGGGGTCCAACAGTTAGGGAACTGGTGCTAGAGCTCCGCCTGCTGGATACAGCATCACAAACACAGGAGAGGGCACCAGTGAGTGATCAAATGATTCATCACCAAAGAGTTGAAGGACTGTGCAGATCCTCTCTCTCTGCTTCACAGTGAAGTCTTCAGGCTATAGGACCAGCAGGAACACATGAGGTCCAGGAGCAGAGAGTTGCACACAGTCATCTACATGTTGTTTTTGTCTGCCTTCAGACATGTCAGGATCTAACCGATCTTGGGTGTTGATGAGAACTACTTCTTTCTCCTCCACCTTTCCCGTGACTCTCTGACAGTCGTCTGGTTCTTCCTCAGTGTTGAACTTGGTCCCTCCCAGTATGACGTTCCCTACTGAACTCCTCTCGGAACAGTTGTTCCCCAGCGGGATGACCCTCAGCTCTGACACTGAAGAGACAACAGTGAATATGAAAACACAGCTAAGTGTAGAATGAATCCATAGTGAACACAATAAAATTGGACTAACCAGTAAAGTCAGATCTTTTTTAATTGGACCAGTCATCCATTATCAACCTGAAACACAACCAGTGACTGTAGTACACTATTAAAAGTTTAAATAAAACATGACTTTGTGACTACCACTAAATTTAGATGCTAATAGAGACAAGAATGTTTCTGATTCAGTTGAGTTTAACTTACTGTCAGGTGGCAGGAGCTCGAAACTGGTGCTGCGCTTCACACGCCCTAGATCTTGCACTGTAGGGACACAGTAAATGCAGGTCTTCATTCACTGAAAGTTGAAACTTACAAATTCACAACTGAGCTTCTGAGTGCTTAATGAAAATAAAACATCAGTTTGAGCCTCTCACCTACAAAACTGATTCTACATGTTACTGTAGACAAGGTTATTTCTGACTCAGGTCACTTTAACTTACTTTGGAGACTGCGGTGTTCTTCTTCCACTTTTCCTGCAGGAAGACAGAAGATGCAGATATTGATTCAGTCACATGTTATAAGCCTCATACTTCAAATATCCCATGACTGTTGAGATCCACAACCTGTGTGAACACTTCAACACCTTCACAGACTGATCCAGGTGTTATCTACTGTATTTGACCTGAGACCATTAGAGCTGAATCTGTGTGAACAAAGACAATAAACTGATGCCTTAAGTCATGTTGAACACAGTCAAACTGGAATAAAACTGTGAGGAGGTCAAGCTGGTTCTAAGATGAAGGAGAACCTGTCATTCATTATTACTGTAACGTGACACTTGTGAATTCACAACTGAGCTTCTGAGTGTTTAAACTAAATATAATATCAATTTGAGCCTCCCACCTCTGTGATTCTACATGGTAATTTCAATTCAATTCAATTTTATTTGTATACTGCCAAATCACAACAAAAGTCATCTTAGGAACTTTACAAAGTAAAGTCTAGATCATACTATTATCACTATTATTATAAAGGAAAACCCAACAAATCCCCCTTGAGCAGCACTTGGCGACAGCAGGGAGGAATACCTCCCTTTAATGGAAGAAACCTCCAAGACCCCGGCTCTTGGTGGGCGGCCTTCTGCCCTTCGTCCTTGACTGGTGGGGGTGAGTGGATAGAGGAGAGGGAGGAGAAAAGAAAAGCAACAAGACACAACAATCAGCTTTATCAAAAAGGAAAGTCTTAAGTCTACTCTTAAAGAGGATGTCCGCCTCCCGAACTGAGACTGGGAGTTGGTTCCATAGGAGAAGTTTGACCAACTGATCTGATTCATCTGGGTTCATAGATAAATATAACTGAGAATCATCTGCGTAACAATGGAAATTTATTCCATGTTTCCTGATAATATTGCCTAAAGGGAGCAGACCTTATACCGAGCCCTGCGGAACACCATGACTATCTTCAGTCTGCGCAGAAGATTTATCATTAACATGAACAAAATGGAATCTTCCTGATAAGTAAGATTTGAACCAATTTAGTGCAGTTCCTTTAATCCCAATAATGTGTTCAGGCCTCTGTAATAAGATGCTGTGATCACTGGTGTCAAAAGCAGCACTGAGATCTAAGAGGACAAGTATATATATTGTTAAATGACTGTTGTGTTGAGTTTAGTTAGTTTGTTAACTACAGGTGAATTTCTGGAAACTTGTTTTCAACTTACCCACAAGGTTTAAATCATACAGGACAACTGAGGGCAAATAATCATAAAACAGACATTTCAAATAAAAATATTTTCATGAAATCACAGGGATGCTATTCATCCAACATTTTAACTGCATCTGACTTTCTATGCACACTTTGATGCCTTCACTGCCAGAATCAATCCTATTATTTAAACACCCACCTAATTTTACATAACCACAGCTGTGAACATCACAGGAAGAGCCATGAATATGTTCATCTAACAGTTGTCTATTCTGGGCAAAAATACTTTTGTTACATGCTGTAACCATTTCTGTGTTCAGCCAATGATGTAACTGTAGTTCTGGAAATGTTGAGTAGTTTGAGTTTTTACTACTTTGATATTTCAGCTGTCAAATCCTTTTCATGCTGACCCTTCAACAACAACCCAGATGTTTGTTGAGACAGAAGAGATTCACTGTAAAAGTCAGACTTTGTGCTCTTCTGTAGTTTTACCTTTATCTTCAGTGTAAATCTTTCAAAACAGATGTTACACAGAGCTTCACAAACTGTACATGTCAGATAAAACACTCGCATATAGTCCCCTGTACACAAAATAATGTTAGAAAAAAAGAGACAAACCAAATAATACAAAATCAGCCAGTTAAGAAAAGCAAGAGAATATACATAAGTGAGTCTTTTTTAAATGTCATAGAACATTATACACAAAAATATGCACAAAAAGCGCCCGTTGTCAGACATCTACACAACGTGTCTGTGTGAGCATTTAAAAAGAAACATAAATATAAAAAAAAACAACAACAAAATATAAATCTGATTAACTACTTGTGTTAAAAAACAAAAAATATATGGATTTTTGAAAATGCATGTTTACAATTACAATTGTATGCATGATTCCTTCAGAAGAGCTTTTTCATGGTATTCTTATTTGATGTCTTTAGAAAAGGCCAGAATACGTATAATGGTAAGAAAGAGAAAGGTTCTGCAAGCCATTTTCATTCATTTGACTGGAAGACATGCAACAACACAGTGAGGGGTTAACTGAGGGCGAGTCATGGACGCCTGAGGCTCATTGATATGTGTGGGGAGTGAAGTTCTAGCCTGTGCTGTTTGATCACAGTGTAGCACAACTTGCTGGAAAACCTCATGCCTGTTCTCACAGAAAGATGTCAGAATGCACAGTGCATCTCAGCTGCTTATAGGACTGTGTACCAATGGCCCTGCAAGGCTTGGTGTGGTGTGTGTGTATGTGTGGGAGATGATGCCACAGATGGCTGTCCCAGTTCTGTACTGGAGACAAATTCCTTGTGTGTGTAATATAGTTGGCCAGTAAAAGTGATTATCATATTATCATTAAAATGACAAATTGAAAAGTGAGATTCATAAATATACTGTTTGTTTCACATAAAACTTTAAATTTGCTTTGCTGCAATAGAAGGTGAAATCAGATTAGGCATGGGATTCAAAAGGATTTGGATTTGACAAGTGGATCTGGATATGACAGAATGTTACTGAACCTCCTTCTGAGGACTTACTCTATTCCACCACTGACTGTCTGGAAATTAAATCAGAATGACTGTAATGTTTAGAGTCTCCCACTTGATGGCAGCATTGTGACTTCAGAAACACAGTCAATGCTTCAGTAGTAACAAATTGCACACTTAATAGCGATAAGACCATGCTTTTTCTTATAGTAAAACACTGTCACAACTTCTTTTCAGACAATCAGACAATAATGCAGAGCTTGAAAGAAAGTTAGCAGACTGTTTTAATCCCAGAGGAGTGCTCATTTCAGTTATTTCCTGTTGACTTGTTTTTAAAGAGCGTTTTTTTTTTTTTTTTGCCAAGATTGAAATTCATTGAAGAAAAAAACCCAGTGGAATGTAATAAGAAAAACAAAAATGTCCCTGTGTAGCCAGCCAGAAGGTATACAATGCCATTTGTGTTTCATTATTTATGGTGAAGTCTTACACTTTTCCCCTCTCTTTTTAAGACGTCCTCTCCCTGGGTCGCTGGGAATTATGCACTGCCTGTAGTGGAGTTGTCATGCTTCACTGCTTACTAAATCGACAATTCCCCCCAAGCTAGGCATTGTTCTCAAGCACATCATGCCAGGGCCCATTTTGATGACATCATCATTGCTGTCACTCTCATTGAGGACAGACCCCTCCGGGTAAAAGAGTGTCACAGACTGATGCACACCCATATCTGCTCGTCCATTGCCTAACACAGCAATATCCTCTATCAGAAGTCCCTGCAGTGTTGCTTTGCTGCAGCAGATTATGCTTGATGACTTCATCTTAATCACACCCAGTTTCATTTTCTTTTATCTCCACAGCGCTATGCCACACTGACTGTGAAACATTCCACAAGTGGATGCACACAAGCCTATTTGAGCACATGCATTTACACACAGAGACAAAGAAACACAATTCAACACATGCACATAGGTCTACTTTTGTTCAAGTATGAAACAAAACTTCCTACCTTAATGCCACAGTGTTAACAGTACTTTTAATGGGTAGGACTTTGAAGTGAAAAATAGTAATAAAAAGTTAACACTTTCTGTGAAGAATGGATATAATGCAAGGCAATAACAGGCAGTATAGAGGTCATGGTAATGCTTTACTCAAAACACATTGAAATCGGGTTTATATTTACTGTTGGTGCCAACATGTGACTGTCACAAGTGATGTGCAATATTGGTTGTATTGGGTGCATGATATGCTCTTTTGGAGGTGTTTTAACTATGAATATGTAGCATGAATCTGATTTTATATTCACCCTTTAATGGATTTGATCTGGATTGCCTTCATTTATGCTATATCATTTTATTTGTCTTTTGGCTTGTTTGTTTATCAACCTACTCAGGGACTATAGATGAAAATTAGCCTTGGTTGGCAAAATCTGGCATACTCTTATAGTTTGGTGTTGATTAATACAGTATGTGTTCCTAGGCTATTGTGCCAAAGAATGGGTGAGCATTCCTATGCAAGTTCAATATTCAAGTTAAGTGTACATTTCTCAACTCTGACATAAATACAAAACATTTCTGAATTCTATCCTCAACCAAGCGAAGAGCAGATATTTGGTGACTTAGCATATATAAAATGCACTGCATTTGCTCAGGTTATACAGTGGCTAGCCCAAATGATTTAGTAGGCATAATCCACACATATGCTGTAGTTTACAGTTTATTCAATCCACTTAATTATCTTTACCCCATCCAGGCACCTTTCACCTGCTCCAGAGCACAAAGAGGCAAGCCTGGCTTACTTCTACAAAGACCTTTGGAATTTTTGTTTATGTTGTACCGACTATGAGTTATACTTTTATTTCATTTATTTATCTTTAATAAATGTTTCATATATCTACTATATATTCCTAATTTTCACATTCAAGAGTGTAACCAACATGATTGTTAATGAATGAGTAACCAGATGAGCAAAAAGACATTCAAATCATTTATAACTGTGAATACAGTTATGCAGTGGATGTACAGCAGCCTGTTCCTGTTAAAGTGAACTCTCTGGGTCTCTTTGCTGGTCTTTGATCACTTTTGACCTTGCTCAGTGACTCCAGACACACACTCAGAGAAACATGGTTTTCTCAGACATGGCAGTGGGCCAAAATAAATAACCTGCCCTCAGAGTGTCGGCAGAACCGCAAGAAATCCAAAACCAGGACTCGACCCAGCGGCACTCACTCACAGGGCTATCAGCGAATGACTTGCTGAAATTTTAATTGTCCGAATGCATCATGTGGTTTGGAAACAAAATCAAATCAGGACGGATCATCCTTCCTCTTTGACACCCTTCCAAAAGAGAGTAGCATTTTTGATTAGGGTTTCATTTATTTATTTTAGGTGGCTCTGATTTCAAGGTCAGGTTACACCAACTTGGGGGACAAACAGATGACATTGTATGGATAGGTAATTCAAGAGTGTGCATGCTTCGATCCTCACAGATAAGAGGGAGATAAGAGACAGGTGTCTTGTAGAATAGAGGACATCCATCTAGAAATTCAATATCCAAAGCTCAGTCAAAAATGGTTTCCATGAAATAAAGGGATTGATATCAATACCTTCCTTCAATTAAAGAAAGAACCATTTCAATAAAAGCTTTTCTCTTTCATTACTTCTCATTTCAGCTTGATCCAAGAATGGATGCGGTTTTTACATTTTTGATATGTACCTTTTTTTAGAAGTGAACGTGTGTGAGTGTTTTGCTGTCCTCACTACATGGTGGCAGACGTTTCCACTCCTGTCCAGTCTCACCATCGTATCACTTGTCTGATGTCGCTACACCAGTCAGGTATTACAGCTGTAAATGTGATTAAAGAAATGTTAGAAATACTGTAGCAAGAAGAACAGCCCTGATTAAAGAAATGTTAGAAATACTGTAGCAGGAAGAACAGCCCTGAGTGTGTATTGCGTGTGTGTGTATTGTGTATCCTATGTCTGTTACCATCAGTGAGGTAATACTGTATCTGAAAATAAAAACTAAGAATAGATAATGCAGTGGGTTATGCACAGAACCCCACTTTTTGCATTAAAATGAATGACCAATTGCTTCATACTGCAGGATAAAGTGAATTAAGAATTAAACTAGCATGTAGATTTGTCTTTACAAATGCAGGACAGTCTCTTTCCTTTTCCCCTTATCTTTCTCCAAAGTAAAGTTTGTTGTCATGCAGGGCGCCTGAGCTGTTGAAGGTGCATTTTTAAATACAATGGAAGTCTGTGGGTGATGGGGCAGCGCAGTGGTGAGTAAATATTGGAAAAAGGGGTGATAAAAATCTCCAACAGACATATGATCACAGAAAATTAAGTGACATTCTACTCAGCCACCAAAGAGGGACACATTGGGTGGGGGACACTCTCTGCAGGGTCACTTAATCTTTTCCTAGCACAGGCAGACCAAACCAAAGTCTTGACAGTAATTTAAAAATCTGAGAAGAATATTTCACAAGTTAAATGTAGGCTAAGTATAAAGAATAAGCTCAAAAATTAAAAATGATACTCAACATTGTAATAATTTAATGCATCAATTTATAATATAAGCCCTCTCAGGCTGAGTGTGGTAGAATTTAATGTCCCATACTTTCAGGTTATTATTAATCATCCAGGTCATTAATAATGGGACAGTAAATATTCATTACAAGTCTCCATATCATGACATAAAGGCTATGTCTGGCCAATTAAAAATGCATAAGGAGTAATGGGGCTTTATTAATAACTTAGCAGATGCCTCAGAAATGCCACAGCACAGGAAAAGCACCAAAGACTTATACAGTATGACAGTTTTCAGTATACTGTACAAAATAACAAAGAATCTAAATGTAGAGGCCTCAGCAAAACAGGAACATTGATTTAAAAGGCCCTTTCTGTACATACAAACTAGGACATTACACACTAACATTTGCAAATATATTTTACTGTGCTGAGTTGCAAATCTTTTTATTGCATTATAAATTCTGTGCACATATAATTTTTCACTGTCTTCTTCTTATTGTTAATCTATGTGTACTGTAGTTGCCCAGTAGATGTCAGGTTTGTATCAAAAAAGATGTTAGTGACACCTACCATACTGATGCTTCCACAGTCACTCTAACTAGTTTTGCACTTGTTAGGCCTATATGCGTTCACCACAGTGTCCAAAATGTAGCCCAACTGACATCGATTTTCACAACACATTTAAAAGCTATGTTAGCTGACAGAAGTCATTTGGAGATATAATAATGTTTTGCATAGTCTGTTTTTAAACTTTCTATCCAAGTTCTTTTTTTAACCTCAATCAAAAGATTGCTTGACAGTAGGCTCAGCTCCAGAGCAGTATGTCTGGAGTCAGGAAAGATTCACTGTTAATGCTTGCAGACATGGAGTTATGAAGGATGAGAGCTCCGACTGAAGGGAGCTGATGCTCCCGGTTTAGTGTGCCATCTGTGGGCCATGCCTCCAAGTGGACACCAGGGCTGTGTGTAGAATCACTCCTGTTTACTACTAAGGTGCATCATATTGAGTGTCATTTTGTCTGCGTGAAGTGTGACTGTGCAAATCGATCCTATTTATACTACCCATAAAAATTCCACAATGGAACAAAACTAGTACCCATGGCATGTACACTTTGCTCTGCTAACAATCCTACAATGCAAGGTGCTGCATTTTATATAGAAATCATTGTTGAGTGATTCTACACCTGTCAGCAATGACTCAAAAAGATGATGATAAGAAATCTAAATTTAGTCCTAACTATTGTGCACACCTATTGAATGTCTATCATACTAGCAAGCAGTCAGTGAGCGATAGAGGGAGTGATTTTGTAGAAAGACCTAGAGTATGTAAGTGATAGAATGAATGAATATGTGTGAGATGATGGTTGTGTCCAAAACCTACGTTATTTCTACCCAAAAGGTTTAATCAAAAATGAAGGATTGTATGCAGTTTCATGACATGTTTGGATCACAATTAATGCTACTCTTGTTTTATAACAGGTACAGCAGGTATAACTGGAGAGACTGGCTCAGCTCAAACAGTGCCAACTTTATTCAGCCGGGTGCTCTTTTGCCCAGTGAGTTTCTACCTACGGTCCCATATGTGTTGAAGGAGTATTCCAACATCAGCTCATGTTGGACTTAAATAAATGTAGCATCGCCTCAGCAAGCTGTGTGCAGGTTTTATACATATATATATATATATATAGTATATACAGCTTTTGGTGGGCGGCCTTCTGCTTCGACCGGTTGGGGTGAGTGGATAGAAAAGAGAAAAGAAAAGCAACAAACAATCAAATACTTGGCAGATTAATGTGGCCGGTGACTGCTCATCAGAACTGTACAGCTCCAGAGCCAGAGATACCTGCACAAAGGTACAACGAAAGAGAGAAGACACATTACAGGAAAGAGGAGACACACAGTTAGTGACATGTAATGGTGGCATATAGAAGCATAGAGAGAGAGGCTTTAATTTGGATGTGACAATTGCTCACTTGCATTTATTGCATCTATCTCTGGAATGTGTTGTGTTTATCTCAGAAAGTCTGTTGACAAACATGTTTATTTGGCAGGGGGTTGTTTATTAGGTAGATTTAAAGAACATCATGCTCCACTAAAAACAAACAAACAAACAAAAAACCTGG